GATTTATATGATAAATGGGGTGGGGGAATTTATATGATAAATGGGGTGGGGGGGATTTATATGGTAAATGGGGTGGGGGGAATTTATATGATAAATGGGGTGGGGGGATTTATATGATAATTCTTCTGAAAGGAGCCAAGGGTGGGGCAACATTCTGATTTGACAGGTATATTGTATATTATAAGATGTACAGTTACGTAAGTCATGATCATCTGTATCAAAAATATTGTGAATAATATCAAAAGTGTGATTATCATTGAATTTACTATAATATTGTATTATTTTAAAATTATTAAGGTAGAGCTTTTTTTTAATAGATTTATTTAACTTTTTTACTTTTCAGAGACAAGATCCTTTCCGGGTTGATAGCTGGTCTCAAGGATGAAGATCCACATATTCGCAAGGTTAGTACTTCCCTAGTACAATGTCAGTCAGGAGATGATTTTATTTGCTGTGGGATGTGTGCATAAATGTTAACAGTTATTTCATAAACATTTTAGGACATTGTCATGTCTCCTTGAATCTCAATAAACATACAAAAGAAAATTGTGTTCTTTATACTAAATTTTTCAATGAGACGTAACGATGTGATTAACTGTATAACAAGTTGAAGTAACTAAGTGTATTTTTGGACTCAATCTTTTTTCCATTATCAATGGGTTGATTGATAAGATACATTAGGACATATGAGATAGTTTTATGTAGAGTAACAAACTAAAAGTGAAAATTTGAATGTTTTTTTAAAATCCTTTGCCCAGAATGAAAAATAGCCTGAAATACATTAATACCATTTGAACTGAAATGAAGAGATGTTCCACATGAAAGTATGAGAGTTTTTCAAGAGGAGAGTTTTTCAAGATGAGAGGTGTTCTACTTGAGAGTTGTTCCATGTGAGAGTATGAGAGTTGTTCAGCAAGAAAGATGTTCCACATGAGAGTATGAGAGTTGTTCCATGAGAGAAGCTAAATCTAGGTCTGCACAGTGTTTGAATTACCGGTACTTGAAATTCTGTTAGCCATGATTAATTGCTATTGGAAAGCTCAACACCTGTGTAATGTACATGTTTACTTGACAGGGAGCCAGCTACGCAATAGGAAATGCTGCCTTCCACAATGCGGACCTTTACGCCAAACTCCGACCAGTCATTCCAGTCCTCATGGACCTGCTCCGAGACCCTGTCTCCAAAACCAAGGCCAATGCTGCCAGTACGTACTATACAGGCCTTTCTTAAGTGTCTGTCTGTGTTTGCAGACAATATTCAACTCATTCACCCAAGAATTTTATAATGAACTATTCCAACCTTTGAATTGGAAGAGTTCAAATGTGTCTTCAGGGGTGCATGAGTTAATGGTTTCCAGCTAAATACTTGTATTTTATATCTCCAATACTCCATCAGATATTGTTCAATGCCATGCAGTTTGAAGTAGTTTAAAAGCATTCTGTCAAACAAGTGTTAAGCGAAAAGTAATGGCAAAGCAAGAGATAAAATTCAAAAGCAAACAGCAATGCAAGTAAAATGAATGTAGTAGAATATGATTTTATCAAACCCAAGGGGACCAAAAATATTAGTTTGAAATACCGGTACATGTACTTTAATTTGGTGGGTTATACGATAGTATGAATGCAGTTGGCAACAAACGTATACATTCTATGGTGCACGTTTGTCAACAAGTTTCAATCTGCCGAGCCTTTTTTCATTGAGTATACGCTGATTTATATGCAGTCAGAGTTTACAAGGCTGAAGAATGGAGAGATATGAATATATACATGTAAATTCTGTATAACACTTGTGCTGATTTATAGTCGGAGTTTACTAAGCTANAACACTTACGCTGTTTTATAGTCAGAGTTTACTAAGCTGAAGTAGGAAGAGATATAAATATAAACATGTAAAATCTATATAACACTTGCGCTGTTTTATAGTCAGAGTTTACTAAGCTGAAGTAGGTAGAGATATAAATATATACATGTAAATTCTGTATAACACTTACACTGATTTATATGCAGTCAGAGTTTACTAAGCTGAAGTAGGTAAAGATATAAATATATACATGTAAAATCTGTATAACACTAGCGCTGATTTATACAGTCAGAGTTTACTAAGCTGAAGTAGGTAAAGATATAAATATATACATGTAAAATCTGTATAACACTTACGCTGATTTATAGTCAGAGTTTACTAAGCTGAAGTAGGGAGAGATATAAATATATACCTGTAAATTCTGTATAACACTTACACTGATTTATATGCAGTCAGAGTTTACTAAGCTGAAGTAGGTAGAGATATAAATATATACATGTAAATTCTGTATAACACTAGCGCTGATTTATACAGTCAGAGATTACTAAGCTGAAGTAGGTAAAGATATAAATATATACCTGTAAATTCTGTATAACACTTAGGCTGATTTATACAGTCAGAGTTTACTAAGCTGAAGTAGGTAGAGATATAAATATATACCTGTAAATTCTGTATAACACTTAGGCTGATTTATACAGTCAGAGTTTACTAAGCTGAAGTAGGAAAATATATAAATATATACCTGTAAATTCTGTATAACACTTACGCTGATTTATATGCAGTCAGAGTTTACTAAGCTGAAGTAGGAAAATATATAAATATATACCTGTAAATTCTGTATAACACTAGCGCTGATTTATAGTCAGAGTTTACAAAGCTGAAGAAGGGAGAGATATAAATATATACCTGTAAATTCTGTATAACACTTAGGCTGATTTATACAGTCAGAGTTTACTAAGCTGAAGTAGGTAAAGATATAAATATATACCTGTAAATTCTGTATAACACTTACGCTGATTTATAGTCGGAGTTTACTAAGCTGAGGTAGGTAGAGATATAAATATATACATGTAAATTCTGTATAACACTTACGCTGATTTATAGTCGGAGTTTACAAAGCTGAAGTAGGGAGAGATATAAATATATACATGTAAATTCTGTATAACACTTACGCTGTTTTATAGTCAGAGTTTACTAAGCTGAAGTAGGTAAAGATATAAATATATACCTCTAAATTCTGTATAACACTTAGGCTGATTTATACAGTCAGAGTTTACTATGCTGAAGTAGGTAGAGATATAAATATATACATGTTAATTCTGTATAACACTTTTCGTTTCTCCACAGGTGTGTTTGGCAACATGAGTCTACATTCCAATACCCTGTGTTCTGACCTGAAAAAAGCCAAAGTTGTAGCTAGGTAAGCTGTTACTTCTAGGTCGCATTCGTTTATCGCGATCCAAACAGTTGAACCGGTTGGATCAGTTTGATCGTTTATGAAATATGGTTGGACGTACCTAGTAATCTGATGCTTCTTTCAGGCAAGCCTTGTAGACAAAGCCTTACAAAACCTGCATAAACATTCGCAGGTCCACCAGGATTTATACCCGAAAAAACAGACAAACGGTGAAACCGGTTGAACTGGCTATAAGAAAGGGCCCTTAATAATTCTATATGTAGCAGACCTTTGCTTCAGTTTCATTGAAACTTTTCCTTAGCATAAATTTTCTATTGGGGGGGGGGGGGGGGGGGGGGGGGAAGCGAGCATTGCTTAGCTTAATACTGTGGAAATTTTCGAGTTCTGACTCTTTGGCAGTGGCTTAGAAATCTATGTACCGTACAACTGGTTATTTATGCGGCCTTGAAATAGTCAAATAAATATGCTTTATGACAGCATATTGGGCAACACCAAGTAAGTATATTTTGTTAAACAAATCATCAACAAAACAATTATCATAACTCTTTATGTATATGAATTATCACAACCACATGCGCAATATTTCATGAAGTTTATTTCCGCAGCTCATTTTTACGCTTGTCATGTTATTCTACGAATCATAATTTCCTTTTCACGTTAATGACCTGTGAAATCCTGAAAATATCATTCCCACAGAAATATCCTTCTATACAGCCGTCTATATATATAAATCTATAAATAAAGATTTTCATGTGGATATTTTCACACTAATACACCCTACGTGAAAAACGTGAGCCTTTCTGAACCAGAATATTTTCCACTTTTACTGTAAGCAAATTTTCTATGTAAGCCTCTTGTTTTGTAGGAAGTATAAACTGGATCAGAATGAAATGTATTGGTTTGTGTACACAGGTTACTGGACCTGGCTTGTAATGACCAACACCACAGTGTTCAAGTCAGTGCTATTCTGTCCCTCCGCAGTCTCACCCGCATGGATGACCTGAAGAGAGTAAGTACTCCTAAACTCGGGTTTGAATCAACTACTGTATACTGAGAAATTTTCACCTATTTAAAATTTCGCCTTTCACCATAATAATCAATATTCTCCCAGTGTCAATTTCACCTTCACATTTAATTACTATGTACATTACTGTATACTGTAATATTCTCGCTGCAGTTAAACTTTCGCCTTTTCTGACCTCCCCAATTACAATGAGGATGAATTTACCACGACAGCGAATATTAGTATACAAAATGCACAATCAATATCAGTATAATTACATGTGAAGGGAAACATGCATTTTATCGGCAAGGGGCGAATATTTGACTTTGCGAAAGTTACCAGGTATACTGTATGTTGTTCAATAATGTTCAATGAAATGATCAATTATCCCTCATTAATTTGGGTGAAAAATGGTGAAAATTCAACCGCAGCGAAAATTTCTTGGTATACAGTATACCACTCAAATCTAAGCATCAACACTATGTTAAATTTTCGGTTATTTTTCAGTAAATAATTGGTTAAGTCCCTGCAGAAAGATATCACCATATTTAAATAACTGTTGAAATCCTTAAGGGAAACTTGAAGCAACTGATTTGATTTTGAAAACATATAGTACAGGTCCCAATTTCATGAATGTTCCTTATAAACTAAAGAAAATTTCTTAATTAAGTTTTTCCGTAGGAAAACATTTATTGGAGTAAATTTTAGGAAAATTGTTAGTTTAAAAGGGAATTTTTCCTAAACTTCAGTTAATGCTTCCGATTGAAAATCTTTATTCAAGGAATTCCTTCGGTTCAGCAACGTTTGTGAAACAGCGGCTAGATATTGTAGTTCTGATAGTGTACAGTATTTTTCAAATAGAGCAGCTAGTTTTAATAAGTAAGTTGAAACCAATACTTTGACATTAAATGAACATCTAGTTCTCTACTTCTGCTTTATCAAGTTATGGATAAATAATGATAGATGATGGGGTATAATTTATCATATTTTGACAACTTTTCAACCCTGATTCGCTGGTAGAATCAAGATCCATTCACAGCAATGAAGCCAGTGTTTATTATTGTTTTATCTCTGAACAGTGTCTTAAAATAAATGTATATGTGATTAAATCACAAAAGGAACCAATGTACATGGCCTCTTTTGTCATAAACAAGAGCAGATGCATATTTTTTTTTTTTAAATAATCATGAATGTTTTGATGATTTCCACAGGAAATGGTATCCCAGAAGGCCGTAGAGAAGCTGAACTCCATCACTGTAGCCAATACTCCCCGACCCGGGTCTGTAGCGTCCCGACCTCCCAGCGTCATGGCCGTCGGGGTCAGCTTTCAGAGCAGTTATGGGTCAAGTAGTTCTAATGTATATACTCACAGTAGTAAACTCGTACGAATTCTACAGGGACACGATAAATCAAATAAAGCTTAATTAGCTCATCACATTGGGACTCGGTGCCAGATCTAGCTCTGGCACAAATTTCAAAACCACGTTAGAAATCACGTCAGAATTCTTCATGCACAGAAAAGTCAACTTAGATATATTTAATGCTCCAATTTCATTTCAACCAACCGTTGTGAAATCTGAATGCAAATGTATAGGAATTGAATACATGTCAGTATTCCCTTTCATTTTGAATAAACCTGTCCTATGGGCAGACGATAAGACTGATTGTTGAATAGCAATGCTGTAAACATTTGGTGGAGATCTTGGCTGTCACAAGGCTGGCTAACTCATTCACCCCTACATATTCAAACTGGACTTGCCCAGTCTTTGATTTGGTGAGGTTCAAATGCGACTTTAGGGGTGAATAGGTTAAAAAGGGAAATAATATCTCATAACTGTAGCAGAGAGAAAGGTGTACAGCACAGCTTTTACAAGCAGATATCAACTCGTACTTGAGTTTCTTGGTTATTCAATGTTTGTGTTCAACCATTCTGAAACTGGTAAACATGATTCAGTAAACAACAACAACTACCTGACTTGTTGTGGTTATCAACAAAGTTCTGTGTCTGGACATTTTCTTTTAAAGTGATCACTCAATATAAATTTTAGTTGTTACGATGGGTTTAGGGCAAACATTTAAAGAAAAGTCATCAACAGTCATTAATAAATAATTGATTAAATCATTGAATAGTCATCAGAAAACCATTTTATTTTCATGTATTTAAAATGTTTATGAGAAATCATCACAAATGTATTTTATAACTGCAATTTTATCATTAACATTCCAAGAGAACAGCATGAAAAATGTTTTTCTCCGATATTGTGAAATACACCTCGAACATTTTCACCAATTTATCTATTAATTTGTATCATATTACTTAGATATTGACTTGGTATATTACAGATATTTTATGCAAATATATGTGGCTTTTTTATCATTCCGTCAGGGTTCTTCTGAATTTTATTATCAAACTTTTAAAATATTAAAACGTATGTGATATGTAAACATGTATTACATCATTGAATCTAGTTCATCCGTAATTTTGTAATGTTGAAAGAACATTATGGATAATGTCTCATTTTGTTGGTCTTCGTTTCACATTTAAACAATTGAATATGATACAAATATAATGTGTTATCTGTATACCATGGTCAGACTGCTATAATCCTGCCTAGGAATATTAAGTAAACTCATTCACCCCTGAAGACATATTTGAACTCTCCCAATTCAAAGGTTGGAATAGTTCATTGTGAAATTTCAGGGGTGAATGAGTTAAATTGTGATCATCCACGCATTCAGCTTCAGTTGTTGCCGATTTATGTTCAGAAGAAAATGCATCATTTCTCGTTTGTCTCGTCTAACATGTTATAATATGATAACTTAAATATGGCTCTTTGTTAGGTATTGTTATTGACAAGCGTAAGTTCAGAAATGAGTTATTGAAATTGTTAAAATATGAAAATGTCATATTTAAATTCATTTTAGTGCTATTTTAGTGTCCCGTTTTGTATTTTACAAGTTGTTACAACTGACATTTGTCTACAACATCAGTCAGTGTTATGAACGTATTGTAGTATATCTTATTTTTCCAACATTCCATATATACATATAGGTATATAAAGGTATGTGTGAAAAGTAATGTTGAATAATAGATTGTATTTAAGTTACAAACCCAGGACTTATTTCACATGATATGACATGTCTTGTACCGATGTATTATATTTTTTTCCCCCCCCAAACATTGTTGAATTTTGACTGTTTGAACCACCTACATACAAATCATACTAGTCTTGTTTAAGTTCATGTTTTAAGAAACATAACCAATTAGTTAAATGGTGTATATATATATTTTTCCCCCCAAAAAATTTGTCATCTACTTTCAATTAAATAAGAAGTATGGTAAATAAAGGCATAGCATTTACTTTGATGAGGTTTATTTGAAATTTAGAATTTGACTGTTTCTAGTAAGATTGATTTGGTGCAATTTGTATCTGAATTTATCTTTTAATATACATATGTACCATTTAAATGTACTTCGTCAGGGTTAAGTAGTAGCCTCTGTAAAGAAAGGATAATTAGTTAGTACATGTGTGTAGCTTTCTTATCTGTTGTATGTAATTACATCAACTTTTTCATCAATGAACTGTAGTATCGATGATAACCAGAACAGGGACGTCAAGTCCAATTAATCAATCAATCAAATTAATTTCATTAATGCTTCATTATTCAAATTCTTTTCGTCTGGATATTACACATGATAGAAGTTGATATACGTAATATTATATAGAATATCTAAACAAAAATAATCAATATCCGTTAAAAATCTAAACATAGAATAATATTATTTATGATTATATAGAATATCATTCTATGAATATTCTATATAATATTCTATTCTACATATAGGATAACCATATACGTTTCTTATCGAAATATACAATATTGGTTTTTCATAGCGACACCCATAACCAATTCTGCCTCATCACAGGTATTTGAAAGTCACAAATATCTGTGTCAAGATATTTTACTCGCTATGGATTTGTATCATATGTGAAGAATGAATGATTTTGGATGTAAAGCTATATTTTGACGAGTTTTGTAAGCATGCAACTGTGTCAGTCGTAATTGCAATAACCAAACAATGTGATGTTCCGTTATATATGTATTTTGAATGATACAATATTGAAATCCGAATTGTTTAATTGTTTATATTGTGACTTAAGGACAAAAGGTAATTCCGTCCTTTTGAAAAGAACATATTAAATTTAACAAAACAAAAAAAAGTTTCCAGTTAAAGTGGTTGTGTCGATGAATCTCAAATCATAGGTGGTATAATTAAAAGGAATCTCCATTTTTGTTTAAAGTTCGAAATTTGTAAAAAAAAGGTTCAGGAAGGATAATTGTTATATCTGAAACAGAACTATATATAGGTCTGTTGAATAAAACCTTATATTATATATGTTCATCATTTCTAAATGACACTCAGAAATGTTTCCTTTTCACAAACAGAAGCATATGAATATGTCACAATATTGACCTCCTCAATGCTCCAGGGGTTATTACGCTCATTTACATCCTCTGCACCCCTAGAATATATTGTAACAAAAATTGAAGGCATGCAGCTAACTAATTTCATTGGTTTTGGGTAATAGAAACCTGATCAATTGATAGGTTGATACCTGTCCTTTGAAGATTACGGATGAGCGGCACCCGACTTCAAAGCCAGTCAATTTTACTGTTTCCGCAAGATTCTTTTGTTTTACATTGAAAAATCTTGGATGGAACTCATTTTGGAAAGGAAATAAGGTAGCCTGCCTCCTTAAGCCATGTTAACGTATATGTATCGAAATGTTATGATGACATACACAACCATTTGTGAAAAGTCAACATACTTGAAACAAAGAAAACCTTTTTTTTTATTTGAAAGACCACTTCCTGTTTGTAGGAAAATATGCAGACTTGAACATTTTCATGTTGTTGATTTTAAATTTAATTTATTCTTCTGTAACTTGAAACTGGATAGAATGTTTGAAATGTGAAAGTGAAATATAATGTGCTCGCAATGTTGTACAGGTAACTATTAAAATCATACTTTAATTGCCGTCCAATATCCATTTCAATATGTTTTTTTGTTCCATTTATTGATAAACTATACATGTCCTCATTGATTTGTTGTGTATATAAATGTGCTTACAGTGTTAATATTTAGAATTATAAACTGGTTCTAAGCACTTATGTCAGAATTTTGTGAAATCGTTTTTTATCAGTCTGGACATTTTTATTGTCCAAAGTCCCCCTCCCCACAAGAGCAGAAGATACTAATTTTGGTTTGTCCACCAATACAAGATTTTTCAGACGAATTCCCTAAAATATTCATGAGGAATGCTTGTATCGTCATTGAAATTCTCAAGCTAAGTTTCAAGACAATGGAAGCTGTGCATATTTAAATAGATTATGGATGCTTCCTCGATTCTGATTGGCAGAATAACTTACCGAAATATTGCTGTATTTTAGTCAAATTTGTGAATATTGGGTATAGGTGTACATAATGGTAATGCTCAGGTGTAAGATAATGTAGACGGATACTTTTGCAAAGGATTCTAAAGGTATTGAGTGTAAATTTGTGTTTTATGAGCAAGAAAATACATCACCTTGATATGTGAATGATAACAAAATTATAGTGAAAATGTGTGAATGAAGATGTTTGTATTAATGTTGTCCATTAAGGTTTTTTAAAGTGCATGAAAAACCCAGTTCTATTATTTTAATATTTTATTTGTTTTCACAATAAATTTCCAGTTTCAAATCAACAAAATCTTCTGCAAATTCATTTTTGTCCATCAACAGGCCTTAGTACTTATTCCAGACACATAAAAAGGTGGGGATAGGGTGGGAGGATGTAGAAAGTTTAAGTTTAAGATGAAAGCATTGATTTTCATGAGACCATGGCTACCCAATTTTATCAAGTTTTATTTATATCATTTTTTGTAAGATGCTAGATTTATTATTATGATAAACTTAAGTTAGCAATACTAAAATCACAAGACTTATTCATAATAAGTGAAGTAATCCTGTCCTTGATATTATTAAATTTGAAAGGCTACACTTAACAATAGTTGCCTGAGTTTTAAAATACAAAAAAAGCAGAACTCCATGGTTCATTACAGAATTCTGTTCCCGGCACTCCATCATTGATACTCCAGGGTTTACGCTCACTTTTGCTCTCCGCACCCCTGGAATATGTCATAGCAAAATTGAAGGGACGCGGCTGACTATTTGATTGGTCTCGGGTAATAAACACTGACCAATCGCTAGGCTATATACCTGTCCTTTGAAGATCATAGAGGAGCAACACTCAACTTCAAAGCCAGTCAACTTTACCGTTATCCAACCGCAAGATTCTTTTGATGTACATCAAAGGATCCAACTAGTCTTCTTGTCTTCTTAACAAGGTGGCATGCACTGAAGCTTTGATTTTGTCAGGACATATTCCAGGGGTGCAGAGAGCGAAAGTGAGCATAACCCCTGGGGTGTTGAGAATGGCGTGTTCTGGGCCATTTTCAAGTCTGAAGGACCCTAGAAATAATTGAGGATGCGTTTGCTCAAAGGTTGATTAATACAACTTTAACCAGTGGTTATTGAAAAAAAAATCAAATTGCCAATAAGAAGGGTGTTAGGGGGGTCAGGTGGTTCAGTGGATAGCGCACATGCCTTTCACCAAGGCGACCGAGGTTCAATTCCCTGATCGGACATGAAAAGGTATGAGGTCACCTGGCCGACCACGTGGGTTTTCTCCGGGCACTCCGGTTTCCTCCCACAATAAGACCCCCACGCGCAAACATCTGGGCCAGCAAGAGTGATTAATATAAGTTGAAATAACTTGTTTCATAACTGTTGTAAAATAAATAAAGTTTAAATTATAAAATAAGAAGAAGCAAGAGCTTTCAAAGCAAAATTAATCCTCAAAACATTTATAAATCTGATTTGTTTAAACAAATCTATAGCAGTGAAATGATATTGGAGGTTCTCAATTTTGTTCATATTTGAAATTTTCCTTAACCACTGGTTAACTTTAACGAACCTTTGTACAACCGGGGTGCAGTATTTTTGTATATATTTGCCATTGAAACCCATTCAACTGTGGTTGAACTGAATGTTATTGGTCAATTGCATTAAAATAGGAATATGAGATTATAGCTCTGCTCAGAATGAATTACTTAACTTGGGGAACTAAAGGTTAGAAAACAAAATGAATGTTGACATAATTGGACTTGCACTGTAAACGTTTATATTTTAACAGTGGTCTTATTTTAGTGTTTTTTTGCGTTTTAATCATTGCGAGAAATTATGAATGTGCTAATTGAATTTCTTGTATGTTGTTCTTTTTTGCATATTTTCGGGGTGCAACAATTCATCAATGTGCTATTTAATTAAAATTCGAAAATACACTAAAATTTGAGTACCTTCAAATAAGTGTGTTTACAGTATATTACATGTAGTATGAAAATGAGAGAGAAATTAAATTTAAAACTTGATTATAATATAAACCCATGTGACTGTTATTGAATATTCGTTTAAGTATGCTTTTTGAAATATATGTGCCAGTGTTGATGTGTATGTTGATTACAAGTTAAATTGAAACTAAAAAATATATCAATAAAAATAAGTGAAAGTACAGTTTTGGTTTGTTGTTTATATTTTTACCCAATTTTCCATAAAATCATGGGCACAACGGTATTCACCTTGGCCTTCTGTCCAACTCTCCCTCCCTGCCTGCCTGCATGGATGTGTACATCAGAATGGATTCTGGAGTGTTTCCCTTATGCTATTTTATGTAGGTTCGTTAAATTTAGAATGTGGGGACATGTATTTTGTTTGTTTGTGTTTTAAGTCCTATCAACAGCTATATTTATTTAAGGACATGCCAGACTTTGGCGGTGGAGGAAAGCTGGGGTACCCCGAGAAAAAACACCGACCTGCAGCCAGTACCTGGTGACTGCCCCACGTAGGCCTCGAACCTGCAACCCAGTGGTGGAGGGCTAGTGGTAGCAGACGGTCAGACACCTTAGCCACTCGGCATCTTATTGATCCAAGTTAAGATTAGACTTCCCTGGTACATATTATCAAAAATATATATATCACTTCCATTGCGCAAGTAATTTTTGCATCAATTTGTTTTTAGTTTTCAATTCATATAAAACTATAACAAAAGAATCACATTTAGTTCTGACATTGCAGCTTTTAATAAATGTCACAATGTGATTTTTGTATCACAGCGTTGAGATCAAAATCTGCTCTCTGTAAAGGAGCAGATAAGGGTCTTTCTGCATATTTCTGTAGAGATAAAAGAACTCCTTTGAAAAACAAATGAATGTTTTTTTTCCAAACATATATCTTTGATTTTTATGACACTGCATCTGGTCAAGGTCGTTCAATTTAATGCAGTCCCCATACATCTAAGCTACAGAACAAATATCATGACTACAGGCTTTATGGTTCTCATGAAGAGGTTCCATTTTTTAATACATTCAACCCCTTTGACATTGAAAGTGGGTCAAAGTTATTCATCTGACCTACCCATACTTGATAGACATTATATTTAACTATTTCTAGCAGTTGTAAACGATATGTGAAATACACCTGTCCTTGTTATTCATTGCTCATGCATCACTGCTCTGTTCACTGCTGCAACACATTGATGAATTTTGACCTTCTCACAAAGTCAGGGTTGTGATTGATTATCTCCCTTGTCAGGGTTGTAATGGATTATCTCCCTTGTAACTTCACCAGCTCCTATCAACTAGGGCTACATTCGCGTATCCCGGTTGAAACGGTACGTGTGGCGCAGAAATATTCCACGATAAACAAACACACTTGGATCGTTCTATAAGCAGAGCTAAAAATGCACAGTTTCAGAGAAAAAAAAAAGAAAAAAAAAAGAACAATATGCCCGTCTTTCATCCGTCCACTAAATAACATACTGTATCTTAGAATATACATGTGACTTATACATTGTTTAAAAAAGAAATAACGCAAACTGGCAATAGCCAGCATTTTAGTTTCGGTCAGGTATGTCTGGACCCCTCAATCTACACGTGCCAAATTTTCCTGAATTTCATCGTCAGTGGCTATGTTTTCTAGGTCTCACAAAGTCAGGGTTGTAATGAATTATCTCCCTTGTAAGGGTTGTAATAGATTATCTCCCTTGTCACTGTTCACCACCTATCAACGATTTCACACGTTTAATTTTATCGTCAGTGGCTATGTTTTCTGGGTCTCACAAAGTCAGGGTTGTAATGGATTATCTCCCTTGTAAGGGTTGTAAATGATTATCTCCCTTGTCACTGTTCACCACCTATCAACGATTTCACACATTTAATTTTATCGTCAGTGGCTATGTTTTCTGGGTCTCACAAAGCTAGGGTTGTAATGGATTATATCCCTTGTAAGGGTTGTAATGACTTATCTCCCTTGTCAGTGTTTTTAATGGATTATCTCCCTTGTCAGGGTTGTAATAAATTATCTCCCTTGTCACTGTTCACCACCTATCAACTATTTCACACGTTTAATTTTATCGTCAGTGGCTATGTTTTCTCGGTTTCCTCACAAAGTCTGGGTTGTATTGAGAGTTATATCGACGATCCCTATCGCTCACTTCCTTCTCTTCTTCTTTTTCTTCTTCTGTCTTTTCTCCTCTGACCTTCGCCATTAATGCAGCAGCTTTCCTTTTCTCAGCAGCTTCTCTTTTATGTCTCTCTGCGCGAAGCTGCTCCATGCTCTTTGACCCTTGAACTTTGGCTGCTTTTGAACTTTCCACTGACCTCTCCTTGTCTTTCTTGTGCTTGGGTTTTTGATGTTTGTGCTGTGAACATCAAATCATCAAAATTATTTTCACATATTTTGAAACTACTCTGAAATTTAAACGCAAACAATACCTTTCCTATGAAAACGCTTTCTTTCTTGTAAATATGAATTTAATATCACAGTCGCCTAAATAATGTAACTTTTATTCAGCGCCCTCCTTTCATATTTCATTTCAAAATATTTTACTAAATCAATCAGATTTAAAAGGAATTGGGCAACAGGCAAAGCCTTTACAAGCCCTCTCCCTGGAGGTACATTATCAAACAATAGCAGATGATGAACTATGAATATTAACATTGGTTTGGAAAATAAGGAATAAATCTGGAGGCAAATTAGCTTGTACGGTGTGTATTAATTTAGTATGCAAGTAATACTGAAATATTTGAACAGTATTCCACTTTTGTGTATGTATGTTTATGAATGTATATTTATAATTGGTTGATTAGAATAATTACAGGGAATTTATATTAAAATCAGTGAAAAACGTATTAACATCCTCCTTTCCTTTTCATGGGGAACATTCACAATTGTATGCCCCCTTAAAATCACAATATGTACATTCATTGTTTTTCTGTATCCTGAGTCAATTAACTCATCAGGTACCCATAGAGTGTTCTGAGTGTGAAAACACAGGGCTGGACCAGGACCTGTATTCATGAAACCGACATTCTTGATTCTCTATTCAAGCAAAATTTGTCGCTCTGGCAATACATCATTTGATATATTCACATTTTGTCAGGGATATAGGAGAATTTTTCAGAGTCTACCAGCCAAATACCATTTTAGATGTTTGCAATTGATATTTTGATTGTGTGTCTGTCAAATGATTTAAGTGCGTTACAAAAAAACATGGATTGCGCACAGAATCCATGCTTGAGCATGAGAACGGTTTTCGTAAATACGGGCCCAGGATTCTAACGATGGAACTCGAATTATAACTGTTGTTCTAACCAATTAAGTCACCTGGTCAACAGTACTATCCTGGTCCAGTCGCACTGAAGGGCCATTTTTTGTTTAAACGGTTGAACAGGTCCGACCACAGTTGTTATAAGGTCGGACCCAGTATTCTGATGCTGCTTTCAGGCAAGCCTCGACAAAGCCTTCAAAAACATTTGCAGCATTTCTACCCGAAACTGTTACATTTAAAAATGGACAAACTGGTTGTTCCGCATAAACGAACATACTAGTTAAAATCCTAAATGAAATTAAAGGGAGATAACTGTTTGTCAGGAAAACTTTCAGTGGAACTCTCTAGTGTTTTGCCTGCAATGGTACAGGGGATCCATGAAAACAATTTCATTTCGCTACATTCAATACCTTGTATTTGTCTGACTGATGTTTATCCTTGCGACTCTTCTTCTTCAGGTAACCGTTAAGTTTGTGTATGGGATCTAAGGAGTCCTTTAATTTCTTATCATTGTGCTCTCTATAACAAAAAAGTAAATAATGCATCCCACTGAATACAGACCTGAACAAGAGGCAATAAGGGCCTGTATCATTCATCATATAACTCAATCCTCAGAATTTCAGGAATTACTACGCTCACCGACGTTCTCTACATCCTTGGAATACGACAGGACAAAACTGGAAGCATGAAATTAACGATTTGATTGGATTCAGGTATAAACAAGTTCTTTTGAAGATTACAGAAGAGTTCCATCTGACTTCAAAGCCAGTCAATTTTACCGTTACGCTGCGGACCAATTCTTTTGCTGCACATCAAAGAATCAAACCTGTCTAATTGCATAATCCGCAAGCAGAGTCTTCAATTATCCAGGATGCAGAAAACATAAACGAGCATAACCCCTAGAATTTCGAGAATATCTTTATTGAATTTCATGCTGAATTGCTTTGATTGAGAAGTCATTTTCAGCACATCTGACATATATGTAGTCTTAAATACCAGTCACCAAACTATTTGGACAATCTTGAGTCAACAAAGCTAGATTTGAACAATCTAGAAAGCCCTTCATCCTGGCAAGCTAATGATTTTGCCCGTTTTCGTTTTAACGGTTGGATTGCTTGGACCACAGTTGTTCGTTTATTAAATAAGGTCGGACCTAGTAATCTGATTTTGCTTTCAGGCGAGCCTTGACAAAGCCTTGCAAGGCCTGCATAAACATTTGCATGTCTGCCAGGATCTATACCCGAAATTGTTACATTTAAAACCGGTCAAACCGGTTGTTCCGCATAAACAAACAGGCCTGCATGGCATGCCTGGAGTAATGAACTATATGGCAAACTAGTAAACTACCTGCCTAGGTAGCAGTATGTACAAGGTATGTGTTGAATATGAGTGAAATGTTCAGAACATCACAAGGAATGTTAAGGCCTAATATTTACTGAACGCTTCATCTGTATGGAAAAACACTGACAAATATGTGCACAATGGCTTTACACAATATGTACAAAAGAAAAAAACAGAGCTAAGGATTCTAAGTGGAATATAAAGAACACTAAGGGATGTTTTTTCAATGGTCATAAGATACTTTTAAAGCCAAACTAGAACTACATCACGAAGATTTCACATAGAAAGACACATTTTTTTATGACAATTGGTAAAAAAAATATTATATAGAAATTCAAGTAAGTTTTCTGGCAAAAATGCAGCCATAAGAGATGAATTACTTCTTATGGAAATTTCTACTCCATGGAACTTTTTACGATGAATCTTAATGTTTGCATCCACAATACTTCAGGGGTTATCCCACTTACACTCTCTGCACCCCTGGAATATGTCATAGCAAAATTGAAGGCACGCTGCTAGCTATTTGATTGTTCTCAGGTAAACAAAAACATGACCAATCGCTCGGTTGATACCTATTCTTTTTAGATTACAGAGGAACGATACCTGATTGCAAAGCCCTACTGCAAAATTATTTTGATCAAACTCGTCTACTGATCTCATCCACAAGGTGGTGCACACTGAGCCTTCACTTTTGTTATGACATATTCCAGGGGTGCAGAGAACGTAAGTGATCATAACCCCTGGGGTATTGTCCTCTAGGATGGTGTGTTCTAGACCGTTTTCAAGTCTGTACGACCCTAGAAATAGTATAATTTCTCTTGCTTCACAGAATTTTAGTCACCTTTTACTGATGGTGTCATCTTCATCTTCTTCCCGTTTTCTTTTCTTAGCATACCACGGGGCTGAACCTGTGAAAATTTCATTTAGTATACCGGTACTACTTTGGCAGAACAGTAGAATGTGTACAATGCTATGCAAATATTTGGATCTTTTTTTTAAACTTAGTCTTTGTCTTGATAGTTAATATAAATATTGACCAGGTTTCATCAGAATTTTGTCATATGTAATTCAAGTACTATGCAGACACTGCCAATCAATCAGAGAGCTATCTTAAGTTGTCCTGTCAAGTGTGGAATCTCAAAGTAATTGAAGTAACCAATCAGATTATAGTATGCAAATTAATTACATGCTGATTTCTTAGCCTTATAGCCTTTGTATTTTGTGCATACTTGGTAAGTTTCCTCAAAACTGAATGACTGTCGAAAAGTTTGACAGCTTAGAAAAACTGTAACTAAAGAAGTCTTATCAAAGAACTTAGAAATCTCAGTAGCTTTATTCAAATAAATCTGGGTTCAAAATTATTTATAACCTGTATTTTGTCCTGCCTTTATTATGCGAGTCTGATATGGAATTGACGAAGACAATTGTGTGCTACAAGACTGTGGGTGATCACTGTATACGTATTTGACTAGAATTTTGATGACACCCTCTCTATAACTTACCTCCTTCACTTTTCAATGAACTTTGACCTAAATAGGTTAAAATGCCCATCTTTTTCTCCCAATCCTCCTTCTCAGCTTTTTTCTCTGCTTCATGGTCAATGTTATGTTTCCCTGTGGATACCTACAAAAAAAATATATGTAAATATTGACACCTTTATATAACTGCTACAAGTGTCCCTACTATTTCAAAAAGACTCTTCATCTAATTTTTACATGGCTGTTGGTTAAAGCATACAACTGTTCAATCTCATTTGAATAATTTTCGGAAAAAACACATTTTGCATTGGAAAGGAATATTCTTTTGAATGACAACCAGTAAATTATTATACAGAATCTTTGTAGCAATTTTATTGTCTAATACTAAAACTGTGATATAGCTGGTTGTCAGAACATAACTGAAATAAATGGGTTTTTTAAATAGGTTTTTCATTTGATATAAAGTAAAATATTACAATACACAGCCTAAATACATACTCATGTTCAATGTATTATTGAAATAAACAAGTACCATATTTACTGTCAGTAATAAGTGCCCCTCCCCTTATATAAGCACTTCCCTATAAGCCCCCCCCCCCCCTAGCAAATTCAGTCAAACAATCTTACAAAACAGATTCCCAGTGTTTTAGGAAAAACAAGCTGAACATATAAAACCTTTGTTTTGTTATCAGGACTCATTTACCCCTGACGACATATTTGAACTCTTCCAATTCAAAGGTTGGAATAGTTCATTATGAAATTTCAGGGGTGAATGAGTTAAAATGCGCCCCTTCAGACAATCTTTATAATAATGTTATATATGCATACAACACACCCATACAAACACATACAGGATATACACATGCAGACATGCATCTACACTTACACCTTCTGTGTCTTTGAAGAAGTTCATATGACCTCCCGACCCCGTGTATATATCGGAAACGAGGCTGTTTGAATTATAAACATCCAGCTTTGTCTTTTCCTCATCTTCGTCCTTCTTCACTGGAGCGCCCTCTATTTTTTCAGGGGAGGTAACTGTGCTGCTGGATGTAAAAGTCACCTTCTGACCTCTAGCTCTTTGTCGTAACAAATCGGTCCTGGCTTCTTGTTCCTGGTTAAGAAAGCATATTGAAGAATATGATATTTGAAGTTCATACATAGAGATTGTAAATAAAATTTAGTACCAATTACCGTAAATGCTTACCAATAAAGGGTTTTATTTCTTAGCTCATCTTTCCTGAATATAGTTCATCCCAAAAACTAGATATCAATATTAACTTTATTCATTTTACGACAATTATGAAACAGGTTATTTCAACTTATATTATTCAGTCTGGTTGGCAAAGATGTTAATGTTTCAGGATTCTTAATGTGGGAGGAAACTAGAGTAACCATGAACACACACATGGTTGGGCAGGTGATCCCATAATTGTTCACACCGGATCACAGAATTGAACTCCGGCTGTAAGGCGAACGTGTTATCCACAGCGCTCCCCGACCACCTTCAAAACTAGATATCTTGTGAACAATATGTACAAAGTGATGTGTATTATAAAAGGATAATTTTAGTCTTGACACTTTCCTTCATGTATCACTTTTGATATTGTAACTTTTTATTTATTTTTCAATATACATATATATAGAATAAAAACAATTTTTTCAGATCGTCCGCTAGGCCTTTCTGCTTTCTAGGGCTTCTTCAGGCGGATTGATGTATATATATTTATGATATGACTTAAAAAAATATTATGATTTCTTACCCATTCATGCTTCTGTCAATGACCTTACCTTCAATCTTTTGGTTGGATAAGGCCAACAAATATATTGTTACTTTCTTGTTACTTAAGCTATTTTTTTGTGCCAACCCTAACATCTTTTTGGCAATTTTCAAGGAAGCACTGTTAAAGTCAAGATCACTCCTCTATATATATATAAACCTTAAAAAAGTATTGAAGAAGGATATTTTTTTACCTTAATGTACCTACACCTTATCCTAAATTTTTTGGTAAATGAACATTTTGTTTTGTTTGGCCTAAATCAGATAACTATTCCAGGTATCCTATACTTACAGCTAAAGCAACCTTCCTTAATTTCTCTTTCTCCTCCTCCGCAGCCTTCGCCTCATCCCGCCGAACCCTCTCGATGTTATCCTTGTTGCGAACATGCCAACTATGTAAGAAAGAAACAGTAGTAAATGAACAAATGTCCTTTGTAAGAAAATCGCAGGAGAAAAACATGTTTGTAAAAGAATTTTGATTTTTCAAAGAAGAACAGTGGTTCAAGGTGCAGTTATTGCTCCATAATTGTTAAATAATTTAATATAAACGCAGAAATCTGATATATTTTCACCAGGGACTAAGTTTTAAACATCGTCAAAATTCTTGTTTTGATGTCCAATACAAATCACATAATATCTCACAGCACTGCAAGTCAAAATAGTAACTGGACACCTGTAAATATATTTACAGCTAATTATAAACTGCAAATATCTGAACAGCTTGATTTAAGCTTATTTATTGCTCCAAACTTGAGCAGAGAATTATAGGCAGAAGTTATATCAACTTATATTATCAACGCCTTTTCCTCTAATACAGCACATATTAGTATTCACATGATAGCATTTAACTATATTTTACAATTATTATATTTTACTTAAAATCTCTTGCTGGATTTGATGAAAACTTGCATGTGTCTGAATACTTCAGTATTGGTATCTACGGACAGATTTTCATTCCCGAATAAAAATAAACCTAAATTTACTGGAAATATATGTTTTGAAATAGGTTGATTTGTGCTGTATTAAAAAGTTAACATTCTAAAAAAAAATGACCAACATCCTCACAAGAATGTCCACAAGCGCATGATGGATTATCAACAGTCTTAACACGGAACAGATCATTTTTTCAAAGAGCTGCACTGATGCCTGAGTTTTGTATGTGATATATTTAAATTGCGTACGCCAAACTCATAATAAAGTATTTAAAGATGGTAATGTTCTTATTATTTTGTCTAACGAATTTCAAAGTCGTAACCTCGATGGGAGAAAAGAAGAGTTACTTGAGGAAAGTCTGAAAGAAGGAATATTGTAATCATATTGGTTCCGTAAATTGTACCGATTGTCGTTACCTACTGTGTTTGGCAAAAGGGCCAATAAATAGCTGGGGGTTAAATTGTTTTTCATTTTATATGAAATATTCAATTTTTGCCTTTTTCTCCTCTCTGATAATGATTCTAAACCCGTTTTAAAATATGTTGTTTAAGAAGGCAGTCCTGTTATAACTCAAGCTGCCTCTCTTTGATCAAGAGCTTTCTCTAATTTCTCGGATTCATTCAAAAGCAGTGCAACCATCCCATAATTCACACAGGCATATTCAAAAACTGGTAAAATGAAAGCTTTATACATTTTAAAAGTGAATATCTTTTCAACAAGTATTTAAGTTTTCGTAAAACGTTAATCTTTTTCATAACCGAACTATAACCTGCCTCGACATGACTCCCCCATTTTCCATTTGAATTGAAATTCATACTTCTAAATGTCTATGTAAGTCCGTCAAATTTATAATTTTCCCTATCAAACATCAAATCCAAGTCATCGTCAATATTGTTTGCATTAATAAAAAGAACATCCATTTTTTGAGGATTAAAAGAAACCAACCAACGTTTAGCGCACTGATTTAAAGATTCTAGGTCCTTGTTGAGAACAGTCTGTATTTCATAGCATAAAAAAGCAGAATAAAGTAAGGATGTATCATCTACAAATAACCTGGAGGCTGAATCAAGTACCTTGGTAATATCATAAATATATATATCAAAAAGAGAAGCAGCCTGATTGTTGATCCTTGATGTACACCTGCTTCAATATTACCTAGTTCCGAAAATGAATTTCCAATTAAAACTTTCTGTTTGAGCTGGTGCAGATAATTTTTGAGCCAATGCAGTAATTCTCCTGAAATTCTGCATGCTTCTAACATTGCTATCAAGCCCCTGTGCCAAACACGATCAAACATTTTTGAAATATATAAAACAAAATAATGCAAGCATATTTTCTTTCTTCTAAAGCAATACATATATATTATGGTAAATTTTAATATACAGGAGAATGACGAGGCATAAAACCTGACTGGAATCGATAAAACAAGTGATTTTCCAAAAAATAATTATACAAGTGTTTGTAAACTACGCACAAAAACACTTTACTAACTGTAGATAGTAGAGATATTATTTGAGGTCTATTCCGTCTTTGCGTATTGCAGAGTTATCCTCTCTTGGGAGCAGGTATTGATTGTTACGTCATTGGTTTGTGTGAGAAAATTACGTCGTTTTCTCAAAAATCGATGACGTTACTCTCACAAACAAGTGACGAAACAATCAATCCCTGCTTCCAAGAGAAGATAACTCTGCAATACGCAAAGACGGAATAGTTACACAGCGTATGATGATATCACCCCTTTTGAAATGGAAGTTTCGATTTATTTGGATTAACACACTCGAAGAAAGTGACATGTTAAAAAGTATTTCAAGTGGTTTGCAGATAGTATCAGCAGTATACTTCATCACATGACGACTTATCTGAACAGCTGTTTCAGTGTTTGAAAACTCTTGTGGATTTTAAAAAGTGTATTTGTTTATTTATCTAATTTCATCCCAGAAAATAAACTGCAGACCTAAAAACATCTTTAATATGTCATTATATGATATGTTCAGTTTCTGTGAGGGTCCATAACATTCAACTACATTCAAGGTAACACTTACCTTGAATGTAGTTGAATGCAATGGACCCTCACATAATTTGGTTACCATGCAAGCATTCAGCAAGCAGTTTTTTTGCGGCAAAAATAAGTAAATGAATATTGTATTAATATTCAAAAAAAATAATATCTGACTGCCTGCCCCCCCCACCCCCCGATAAAAAAACCTCTCTGCATACCTACTACTGTAATGTACGTCGCCTCTGATAAATATATCAAGATTCAAGATACAAGATTCAAGAGGCTTTATTTAACGTCGCATACACATGTAACATAATAACATTAGCACTGTAGTGCTATTCTTGCGACAAAACATATATGCAATTTAACAAGGATCTCATTACTTATGAATAACTATAAAATCAGGACAACAATTCAAATTAGATATGCTAAAATTATACAGTAGAGCATATAATATCACACTTGTATGTCACACAAGTGTTATGAAAGACAAGTTAAGACACTATATACTAGTGTAATGTACATATCTGCTAATGTAGCAAAGTGTAAAAATTTACAGGATATACACTAATATAGTGTGAATTAAAAAGAGACAATGAAGTCATAAATAGAAACAAGAGCTATAATTATGATATTGTAAAAAAATAATGATCTTTTAAATAATAGAGCTCAAATCTAAAATAAATATCAATTATATAATAAGTATAATACTGACGTACGTTAAATTAAATAACACAAGCAGCAGTGAAATTAAATTAAATAGTTGTTATATAAAACATGTAGGTAGATTCCAAAGGGGGACAACTCACACTATATGGTGTGTGCAGATAGCACATGAGCATACATTTTTGTTCCAGGTGTGGAGCAGCCCACGAAACGACTTATAGTTTTCAGCTAATCGAAGTACATTTGGTAGGCTGTTCCACACCTGGGACGCAGCTAATCGGAAAGATCTTTTACCATATGTTGAGGTGTTCACCTTTGGAGTCTTTACCAGGTTATCTTGTCTCAGATTGTAAAAAACTTCTTTCCTCTCAACAAGATAAAAAGACCACTGAATTCGTATTTGTACGATAAGACTTGATGATTAATTCAAACACTACCTCTTATGATGTAAAATATTCATTGTCGTGGGAAAACGTTCCTTCAGTCACCAGTAAATATTTTGGTACTATGGTGTAAATCTGGAGAGACATTTGATTGGATAAAATATCTTTTGGGATTCCCCCGTAGTGGGGATTTCCCAAGTTACATCAAATGTTCTAGCGGTTTCGACTCGTGATAACAGGAATGTTTACAAGTAATTTGTTCCGGCAATTATGAATGACGGTGAGATTTCAGTATTCCAGCTGTTAGATCAGTGTAGCAGGAAATATATAACTCTCTACTGACGTGCGAGTAGCCAACCTGACGTTAAATGATAGACAGATAGACTAGAGCTCCTACTGAGTACTGTAACGTTACGTCATTTTCCCCATAAATGGATTCTGTGTTATTTAAAAAATAAAATCGTGCGTTATTATAGTTTTTATGAAATATTGCAAACGGCTACTAAAATATGTAGTGCCCTATTTCTAATATTTATATAAATTATCATTGGCTTTGATTAATGGAGATAACTTTAAAAAAAAATCTTCTCCATAAGAAAGTTAGTCTACGCGAAGTTAAATTTTACCTGGACCACGGAATTAGATTGCGTGACAGGACCAATTAATTTATGATCTAAAATCTGAGAAACAGATAAAGGTTTATTACCATAAACACAATCATGACATAGGTTATGATGAGACAATGACAAATGTGCTTTTCCATACTAGTACATGTATTAAGTTCCTCATTTAGGCTTCATGTAAATAAACCTCAACCTTGTCGTTTTAGTTCACCCAGCACAGAGTACCTGTCATCTTTTTGTGTGGTGCAGCATAATTCTGTCTGTCCATCATTTTTTAATTCGATTGCTTCCTTTTTAAAATGGAAAGACACTGTGCTGCCTGGTTATAGACAATCACCCAGAATATTTGGTCTGTAATTTGTTACTGACTTTCCTCTGGCCCTGACACCATGCACACTTAGACATTTTGACAGATAGATTAATATGTCACCAGATATCAACATACTGATTGAAATTTCCCTATATCAATGACCATGACCTACTTTAAAGGTCAAAGGTGTCAAATATTTTTACAAATTATTATTCATAGACCAGACTTTATCCAAGAATATATATTTAACAAAAAAAACAAGTTTTATTTAGTGCTTGATAACAGGAAATTACCAATTAAACTGTCATGATTAAGGAAGAAAACACATTTTCGGGCCAATTTATTCCCTCACTACAAATGTTTATATTTATCATTGAATAATACTATCATAGGAAAGAACTTCATAGACAACTTGGTCTATAAAGTAAATTATTCCCATAGACCTACAGTGATTTTCATGGCTTATTTTTATATATAATTGTCTATATAGGATCTACCATTAAGTTCTAACACTGCAGTATTAACTGTATTTTACTGTAATATTGCTCTCTCACATCCACAGAAGAACTTGCCAGTTATATCTACGATATCCTGTTGGAGAAGAAAGAGTTGTCTCTGAAGGATATTCACAGAGAAGTAAAAAACCACCATCCAAAGGAAAACCAAGTCAAGCACTGCCTCTCACTGTTGCATCACCTAGTGAGTGTCAATAAGAAGGATGGAGTGGACATGTGGTCACTGCCGTCCGAGGCCGATGTCCAGCCAAGTATGGAAACCCCTATCGCTGGTAAAATACCCATGTGTTTCTTAAGTAAATAAATATACAATGGATTAATGTCAGACTTATTAGGAAGGTTCATTACCATGAAAGCTTGCACAAGTTTGATAACCAAATTTTTTTGCCGGTTATTTACAGAGTTATGGCCCATTGTAGAATTGCTGTAACAGTTTCCTCTCAATAACTTCAGTCATTTTGAATAGATTCATTTCAAACTTCATAGGAAGGTTCATTTCTATGAAAGCTTGCGATAATCAAAATAATTTGCCGATTATTTACAGAAATATGGCCCTTTGTAGATTTGCTGAAACACTTTCCACTCAATAACTTGGGTAATTTTGAATGGATTAATTTCAAACTTGGTAGGAAGGTTCATAATGCCATGAAAGCTCAGACAAGTTCGATAACCAAAATTATTTGTCGGTTATTAATGCAGTTATGGCTCTTTGTAGATTTCACACTTATCTCTTCAAAATTTATGCACTTATGGCCCTTTGTGGCAAACTGCTCATTCAACATCTGACGGGCGTATCATGTGCCGCTTCTCGTCGGAACTCTTGTTATGCCTGGAGTCATTTGGTTACTTGATTGAAGAGCTATTACCAATGTCCAATGAATTGAATATTGAGGGTCACAAAGGCAAAATGTGTTCAGTCAGCTCTCCTAAAGATTCATGATGCCTAGAGTGTTGATTTATCATATAGAACAGTAGCTTGCCTGGATGGGAGGTACGATGTATCAAGTTTTCATAAATAAATCACCTGAACTGACTTTATTGGGTAATCACAGCAGTCAAATGTGAAAAAATATTCAAAGAACTTCTTCTAAAGAGCCATGATGCCTAGAGGGATGGTATTTCAGCTGTTACTTGTTGGGGTGATAGATGTCAAGATTGTTCAAATTAATGACCATGACCAACTGTCAAACACGGATCTTAAATGTGTGTAAATATTCTTCTGACTTCTGAACTCTTTCACCACCATAGACCATAATGGACTCATCAAGATCAATGCATGGTAGAGTCACGGACATGGATAACAACTAATCTAATTCCGTGGTAGAATCTACTAAAGTTACATGGGGATGAAAGGGTTAAGAACAAAGATGAATTGAGAAGCGATATTTAAACTTTAGTTTGCTAGATCTAAAGTGATGGGCCTCAGAATTGATTCAGCTCAAATATATGATATTGGCTCATGATCACATCCTAAGTAACAGTATCAAATGTGTTAAAAAAAAATCCTCAAAACTTCTTTAACAGAGCCCTAGGACCTAAAGAGGTGATATAAAATTTAGTCTGTAGATTGTTAGAATGATGCTTCAAAGTTCCTTCAAAAGATTGACTTTTGTCCCTTCCAAATAAAAGGTAAAAGGAGTTAAAAAATATAAAATTACTTTTAAATAATCATGGTTCTTAGAAATGCTGTTAAGACTTTTGGTTACTAGAATATAGTGCTATTAGATTTTTCAAATAAATTATTTTCGTCTATGTTTAAGTTCAGATTCAAGCTTGAGGTAAAAAGTAAATAAAAACTTAAAAAATTAAACAATTTTAAAGTACCTTATTGTGTGGAATTATGATAGCTAATGTGAAATAATATGTTTATTTATGGTATTTCTTTATTGTCAAATGATTTCATCTTGTAATCCATCCTCGATACTCCAGGGGTTATGCTCAGTTTTGCTCTCTGCACACCTCAAATATGTCATAGTGAAAATGAAGGCAAGCGACTAGCTATTTGATTGGTCTCAGATAAAATAACTGTCAAATTGCTAGGCTGATATCTGTCCTTTGAAAATTACAAAGGAGCAACGCTCAAATTTAAAGCCAGTCAAATTTACCGTTACAAGACCCGATATTCTTTTGATGTACATCAAAGGATCAAACTAGTCTTGTCTCATCCCCTAGGTGGCGCACACTGAGCCTGTCAGGGGTGCAGAGAGCATAAGTGAGCATTATCCCTGGAGTATCGTGGGTGCTTTTGATCTAGATATTGTTGATTTGAAATCTAGGTCATCCTCTAAATTCCGGGGGTGACCCAAACTTACGTTCTCTGACCCCTGGAATATGTCGTGACAAAATTAAAGGCACACAGCTCGCTATTTGATTGGTTTCAGGAAAGAAAAACTGACCAATCACTGGGCTTATACCTGTTCTTTGATGATTAAAGAAAAGCGACAACTGACTTCAAAGCTTGTCAATTGTATCATTATGCTGCAATGTGATTCATTTGATGTACCAGGTACATCAAAATATTACACTAGTTTACCTGTATCATCTACAAGGTTTTAGGTTCACAGTCATCAAATCCAGCATGACCTATTCCAGGGGGGCAGATCTAGAGAATGTAAGAGAGGTATATAACCCCTGGAATTTTGAGGATGAATCTAGATGAGCTATTGAAAAAGAAAGAAAAAAAGATTGTTTATGGTAAATCTTATTGTCTGGCTTACCACAGCAGGGGCCAGATTTCTGTATGATGTGGGGTTTTCCTTGAAGTGACTAAAAGTGGAGACCGTGGTGCTAGAAGTAAAAAAAATGGCGAAACTTCCTGCAGGGATAGACGCTCCAGTGGGCAAGCTTCCAGTGGGGACAGACGCTCAATTGGGCAAGCTTCCAGTGGGGACAGACGCTCCAGTTGGGAAGCTATCAGTGGGGATAGACGCTCCAGTGGGCAAGGTTCCAGTGGGGATAGACGCTCCAGTGTGCAAGCTTACAGTGGGGATATACACTCCAGTGGGGATAGACGCTCCAGTGGGCAAGCTTACAGTGGGGATAGACGCTCCAGTGGGGATAGACGCTCCAGTGGGCAAGCTTACAGTGGGGATAGATGCTCCAGTTTGGAAGCATCCAGTCGGGAAAGATATACTTTTGAGGATACACATCCCAACTTGTCATCCAGCAACCCCAGGAGCTCTGGATCCTACGCTGAAGTTACAAAGTCTCAGAACAGATTGAGAGATGGTACACATTCCTCCACCCATACAGACACAACTCCACCCAGCTGGGAAGTAGACTCAGATTGGCCACCGATTTCAGCTGTAGAAAAAACTCTCGGTAAGTTATTTTCACAAAATGCCCTTAAGCCTAAGGTATGGCGGAGCATATGTTGTTCATTCATCATCTTCTGTTTATCTGTACACTTTTTCTTTGAACAACTTCTTCTTAAGAACTGAAAGATCTAGGATCATGAAATTTGACAAGTGGCTACCGAAGATGGATCACTTTAAACCTTTCAAACAGAAATGACCTTGACCTACTTTCAAGGTGAGAGGGGTCAGATTTGTTAGAACTTTAAATAACCTCTAATAAGTTCTAAAAAATATATATGATATTATGGTATGTTATGTGGGTCAGCAATGCAAATGATCTTCCAACATATTGTGTCAACTTTAAATACAGGCCATAGTTATAGGTCAACATGGGTACATGCTATAAAGTTTCCTCTTAATATAAATGACTTGACCTGGTGCAGGTTTGTAGAAAGATTAAACCTGCTGTTAGCATGGCATGTTTTAATAAGAAATCACGACTTTTGAATAACAAAGAGTCCTAGGGTCATAATATTTGGACTAGCATAAATTAACATAAATTAAATTGGCTTGCATACAACAGCAAGGTCTGTATTACTACTGCATCCTGGGAAATTTTCGCTGCGGTTTATTTTTTCCGCTTTTTCCGCTATCCCTAATGAGGATGATTTTATCGATACAGTGAACATTAGTAAATAACATAATAATGTACATAGAAATTAAATGTGAATGGTGAAATCAAAAGTGAGCGAATATAGATGTTTCCAATGAAGGGTGAAAGTTAGACTGGGCAAACATTTCCATTTACACAGTATACAATATGGGATTTTTCTTTGAAGTGAGTAAGAATGTAGAGTATGCTGCCAGAGGGGGACGAAATGAGAAAGCTTACTCTGGGGATAGAAGCTCCACCCTGTCATCCCACCAGAGTCTCAGGGATTCCTCTGCTGAAGAGAGTATGCGTTTATCAACACCTCCCAATACCACCCATACCAACACCACCCAACCAAGAGGGGCTGGCTCAGTGTGTCCACAGCCTTTACAAGCAGCAGGTGGTCTGGTTGTAGCAGAGCGAGTTAATACACCCAACACTATCAGTAAGTATTGGCTTTCAGTACAAAATACCTGCGAATTGATAATACGGTTTAGTCTGTCAATTTTTACTTTCAACACTTCTTCTTGAGCACTGAAATGCCAAGAGTCATGATATTTTGCCTTCAGCTAACTAAGAAGGAGTGCAATAAAAGTTATATAAATGACATTGAACTACTTTCATGGCCACAGGATTCAATTATGCTAAAGGTTGCAATAAACAACATCTTCTAAAGAACCAAAAGGTTTAGAGCCACGGTATAATGGTATATATCATATTAGACCAGCAGCGCAAATGTCTTTTGAACTACATTATGTTTAAGGTGACATGTCAACTTTGATAATAATAAGTCAACTGTAATGGGTAATTAGGAGGCTTTAAAAATCTTCTTCAAAGTCTATAAAGTCAAGGGTCATGAAACATGGCTAGTTGGTTCCTAGGATGGAGAACTTCAACGTGTCCACGTATATAGGATCCTGGTTTACTTTCAAGGTCAAAGAGGTCAAATGTTTTAAAACTTCATAAGTATAATAATTTTGGTAAATAATTACTTTGTTTTATTTTATAAATTGTTTGCTAAAAGTGGAAGGTTATTATGTTATGACATTGTGTTTCTTTTTGTCCTTTTTGTCTCTCCATCTGTCTGTTTACAACAAGTTGTTACTGAGATTTTGCTGATTGTGACTGTGGTGGGAGTTTGGGGGACTTAAATTCAGTTACAATTAGAAGTTGTTTATATGAATACTTCCTTGATCATTTTTTTTATGAAATTTTTAGATAAATCTTTCGGAAGAATGGAAATTTCCATATCAGGTGATAACAGAGTGGCGGAGTACACCAGTCTGAAACCTGAGGTACAGCAGTGGTGCAGTAAGTACACTGTACAAAATCTTTAAACTATATTTCTGCTTTCATGATGCATTAAGGCATCATTTAGGCTAGGCTTGGTGATGCATTAAGGCATCATTTAGGCTAGGCTTGGTGATGCATTAAGGCATCACTTAGGCTAGGCTTGGTGATGCATTAAGGCATCATTTAGGCTAGGCTTGGTGATGCATTAAGGCATTATTTAAGCCATGCTTGGTGATATAGTAAGGCATCATTTAGACCTGGCTTTAATGCATCACCAAGCCTAGCCAAAATGATGCCTTAATGCATCATTTAGGCCAGGCTTGGTGATGCATTAAGGCATCATTTAGGCTAGGCTTGGAAATGCATTAATGCATCATTTAGGCAAGGCTTGGTGATGCATTAAGGCATCATTTAGGCCAGGCTTGGTGATGTATTAAGGCATCATTTAGGATAGGCTTGGAGATGCATTCAGGCATCATTTAGGCCTGGCTTGAGGATGTATTAAGCCATCATTTAGGCTAGACTTGGAGATACATTAAGGCATAATTTAGGATAGGCTAGGTGATGCATTAGGCACAATTTAGGCCAGGCTTGGTGAAGCATTAGGCATCATTTAGTCCAGGCTTGGTGATCGAGGTAGTATATTCAACAGTAAAAGGGTGCACAGGTCATTTCCTTTGTCCCTATATTTTCATGGTTTTAATACTCGTCGGTAATTAAATCTCCCACAATCTTTGTTGAAAGCGAATATAGTGAAATCATCTTACTATATATAAATCAGTGATGGGCAATCAGTTCATAATTATACTTAGTCATCGTTAATTGTTTGGTAACCGGAATTAGTAAACTGCTTGATGATCGATTGCATAATCAGTTTATAATTTTCGGGGACTGAATTGTTAAACAATGTGAGAACACTACCATTTTACGTTAGGTTTCATTCTATTATAATGAACACATTTCAAGCAAATTTATGCAGTTTTGTCAATGATATATTAAAATTAATAAAAATAGATGACTTTCAGTACAAGCTTTACATTGTGTGCAATGATTATATTGATTATGGAATTTGTAATCTACAATCAGAGACGGAAAGAGCAAACTGATCGATCTTCGATTATAATTGATCATCAGCCCATCAGTAATGTCAATGTTAATTCACTTAACTAAATATGGGTGGAAGTTGCTGTGAATTTACTCTTAAACTGTTTCATTTTTTAACACTTTCACCCCTATTTAACTTAAGTAGACTCTACCATGCATTGATATGGATGAGTCCATTATGGTATACAGTGGTGGAAGGGTTAAGGGACTTTACTGTCTCTTTTCATTTCTGCACACCCAGTTCTTTCTACCTGCACCCTCATCAGCCATGATCACCAGCATCTGATGATATATTCTGTACAGAAATTGTAATGGATTTTGACCTGATTAATCGATTTCCTATGTCACAGGGCTACCCAGATTTGCTTCGTATAGCTTTGTATCAGTAAATATATATCTTTTTCTTTATTTTCAGATATTTTTAACAAAATTCTGCAGGTTTTGAAAAATTCAGGAAATCCCCTAAAGGCAGCAGATATAGCTAAAGAAACTGGTATTGGAAAGTCCAGAAGTAGTGTCAATCCTCTGCTCTATTTTCTGGAAAGCAAAGGAAAAATAAAAAACTTGAGTGATCGTTGCCCAATATGGACCTTAAGCTTGCTTCCTGAAGAATGCACAGGTATATATTTAATACATGTATATCATATAATATGAAACTTTACACTTGATACACAAACATTGTACATATTAAACATGTCGCAACTTTTCAAGACCGACTGGTCCTTTTGTCAAGCTAATATGACTGAGTGAGCGATTTGTGTTGTTTACTGTAAATCGATGTGACGAAATTGTATATTTCATATGTCGCTGCCGACCCGGGTTGTTTCCCCTATAGATAGAGAGTATCTATACACAATGTAACGTTGCAACATGTTTAATACGTACATTGTTTGTGAAGAAAGTAAAACTTTGATATTACCGATACATATTTTCAAACTGATGAATCTGAAGAAAGCACAGGTATATACTTTCATCATAGTAAAGCAGTTTTATGCAATTGATAAACTGAAGAACAATATCTATGGAATAAAGGTAAAAGATGCCAACAATTAAAACTATGTTATTGCTATATATGTCACTCTTATGAAATACTAGCTAAAGGATCCCTGTCCCATTAAAAGGATCCCAATCCCATTAAAAGGATCTCAATCCCATTAAAAGGATCCCAGTCCAATTAAAAGGATCCATGTCCCATTACACTGTGGTCTTTGTCTCGCCGCCATGAGGTGGAAGTGAGACTAACGTGTTGCTTTTCCGGCGACAGCGTCAACATTAAGTTTTGCATTTAAGTTAGTTTCTCTAAAAATATAAGTACTAGACCAACCAAACTTGGACCATAGATGCATCTTAGGTAGTACATCTCAGATAGTTTGTTACAGCTATATTTGGACCTGAACTACGGTGTTCACTAGAGCAATTTTACATGGTTTAGGGGTTTAAATCGACTTTCGGTAAAAATGACACCCCAAATGATCATATACAGGAGAAGGGAGGAAAGCTCTCAATGTCGAAATGTCGACCCCACCTAACTTTCTTGCATCAAAAACAACATTTCTAGTTGATATACAGGAAAATGCTTAGTACCGTTGGAAAGATGGATAATTTTTCTTTTAAAAACTTCCTATATGCATGTAAAATGTATTTTCCTTCCGCGGACATGAACTCAATTTCCTCCAAAAACACACTCGCCATTTCAGAGTTTCAAAGTTTTTCGTAGTCAGCCTGCCACTTTTTTAGGTCACCTGAGACAATCGCCTTTTGTCCAGCGTGTCCGTCGTCCGTCCGTAAACAATTTACATTTTCGACTTCTTCTCCAAAACCCCTGAACCAATTTCAATGAAATTTTGTAGAAACCTTCCATGGCCAAAGGTCAACAAAACTAGTTGCCGGTTTGGTCCCCAGCCCCCAGGCGCCTGAGGGGCGGGGCCAAAAAGCGTCAAATTGACTAAAATTTCAAAAATCTTTTTCTCAAGACCCAGATATTGTAGAATCAAATACTCTTCATAGATGGAAGATTAGTATTATCAGTATTAGGTAGCAGTTTGATAGTATGTACATATCAGCCCTGACTGACCCCCCGGTTTTGCTTTACCAAAATTGTGAATTTCATGACCCTGGGGTCTCACGTTTCCCCCTGGGGAGGGGGTAAACTTAACTATAGTTTATATAGGGAAATCACATTTTGGACCAATATTTGTTTAATTTCCATTGGCAGTAATTCAATTAGGGTTAGCATTATCAGTATTGGATAGCAGTTTGATGGTATGCACATATCAGCCCTGACTGACCCCCCTGGGCTGATGGGTGGGGCCAAAAAGAGTTGAATTGACTGAAATTTCAAAAATCTTCTTCTCAAAGACCCAAATATGGTGGAATCAAACACTCCTCATAGATGGAAGGGTCTTAAGGATTATGACCCTAGGGTCTCACGTTTACCCCCTTGGGAAGGAGGGGGTAACATTTATTATGGTTTAAAATGGCAAATGATACTATGAATATTACATGTTAACTTGATTGGAATTATTACCTTGAGTTGACAGTTTGATACTTAGCCCCAAGGGCTGTAGGGTGGGGCCCAAAGGAGACAGTGTGCTAAAATTTCTTCATTTTCCTTGTTTAGAATCAGAGGCGCTGGTTTCAAATACTTTTTAGTCTTAAATCTGTATGCTAGATGTTAAATAAGGTGGTTTATTGTTTTTTGTCACTTTGAATAATATTTCCGTTCGTGTTAAAAACAAAATCAACTCTCTGTATAAATATATCAGGCGACCGTTAAGGCCCATGGGCCTCTTGTTTATATTAATAAGGTTGAGGTTAGCGCGTGCTGAAACATGCAGTGTTGGTTGGTTAAGCGAAAAAATGGCTGCACTTCCAGCCAAGCACACCACCGCTCTCGGCAGGTGGACGACGTCAACCACATAAATATTTAAAAAAGTGGCAGGCTGACTGCAAAAAACTTACATATTTTGCTTTAAATTTCATCTTTACGATTTCTCCTAAGGTGTGATTTGTTATCAAAGCTGTAGTCATACTGAACAAAAACAGTTTCTGACACTTAGTTTAAAAAAAGTGTTTTGGCAGTGGTACAGGGATCCTTAAGTTTCAAACAAAGCATTCAATGCATTACCCAGAATTACAGTTCGAAAATTAAATATTTGAAAACGAAAAAAAAATAAAAAAAATGTCAGACCTTTATAAATATTGCAAAGCCTTCATCACTCCACCAATTGTTGGCATTTAGGAATACAAATGAAGAGCAACAGAGTGAGTGTCCTATTAATTGGCCGCAAAGCCTATGGATAAAGTTACAGAGAAAAATCCTTTTGGTTGCTTCATCTTCTATCTCATCGTCGGAGACCCACGGTTGATTTCGTTTCGGTACTCACTCATCATGAGTGAGTACCAAAGCGAAATCAACCGTGGGTATCCGACGATGCTTCTATCTAGAAGGGAGAATAATACAGTAAAAAGTTATATATTTCATCTAATTTCCTTTTTCACAAAAACATCTTGGCTCCCTTATGAGGAATGGATCCCCAGGACATCTTGCTTATACATTTCATTTTAAAAATGTTTATGATTTTGTCCGTTTCCAGATGAGGTCGCAAAAGAAGCTGCCATCGAGTATTACAAAAAAAAGAACCCCGGTGCTGAAACAAGCCTTGCCATTACTCCAGGAGGCCCAGGTATGATACTGGTTTCATCTTCGTTAGACACTCATTCACAACTGTATAATAACTTCAGTGCAATATTTCATGTGTTGACTTCCTGTATTTCTCTGGTAACAATTTGTTCCTGTGTTTAACTCATTTACCCCTGAAGACACATTTGAACTCTTCCAATTTAAAGGTTGGAATAGTTCATTATGAAATTTCAGGGGTAAACGAGTAAACATGCCCCCACTTAGCTATAAATGGGAGTGAGATGGTATGTTCCAGGCAACCATTGATTTCCTTGGAGATGTGACAGCGTTTTATCGGTCAAAGATAATCATTTGCTTTCATTTTTTAAATTAATCATGTTATGTGGGAACAGTGGGTATTAGCCCAGATAGGTAAGCGGCATCTGGATTAGTTACTGAATGTTTAAAAACAATAGGCCTAGTTAAGTATCGTCTGTTTCTCTTTAGATTCCAGGACAACAGGTACTGGTTGTTCACATGGAGGAAACTGTAAGACTTGTAGGGGACCTTGTGTCAATATAGAAAACCATAAGCATGTGCACCACCATAACTACTACATGCAGTCTGGAAATACCAACATAATAAATGTCACTCAGTCAGGAACAGGTAAGTCAAGATGTCTACCTTTATCTGTTGGAGTGGGTCCAGGGATTAATCAAGGTTTTTTGAGGAAATATTACACTTACCGTATAGGCTGTAATAAGCGCCCCCTCCCCTTTTTTCAGCACTTATTGAATGATGTATGCCCACCTCCCTCTTTCCCAAACAGCTTTCTATCTACGAAATATATTTATTAATTTTATATCAGACACTTCATCAACCGACTGCATCCCAAGAAGATAATCCAGACTCTTTCATTGCCAGGAGATGATCCTGTCTGCTAATCAGACTGTTTTCCATCATTTTATTTTCTTTTATTTCTTTTAATTCTCCCTGAGATTGTTTCTGAAAGTGAATACCCCTTTACAGAATATGCCACAATCTACATTTTGTTATCTTAATAAACACCCCCTTCAGTCAATTTCTCATGTGACATGGGCACTAATTAAAGCGAATATGGTACCTTAAAAGAAGATTTTTTTTCTCTAAGTATACTGAACGGCAAAATTAAGAATATACTTTAAAAAAACCACATTGTTAAGTATGGCCACTGTTTAAAAAAAAATGGCTACTGAAATTCAAACATGGCTACTTTTTTGGCTTCTGATCTTTTAGGTCCAGGGTGAGTCCTGATCCTGTTGGGAAAGTTCCTATTAATAGCTGTAAAATGGCCACGATTAACTCATTCACCCCTACATTTTCAAACTAGACTTGCTGAGTCTTTGATATAGTAAGGTTCAAATGTGACTTTAGGGGTGAATGGCATGGGTTATTATCCGCCAATCCAAAGGTGTAATTTTGATTAAAGAATTTCTGTGTATCTAAGATATGAACAATTTCAATGTTAATAGTGATGTATGGTATTGTATTGTATGGTATACACTATATTGTATCATTATTTCAATGATGTATTGAATTTCCTGGATGTATTGTAACTTGTATACACTAATATTGGAATTTTATATCTAGTTCTAGACCAGGATATGTATGCTTGGTTTGGGTTTTTAGGTCTTGAGCTTTAGCTCAAGTGACCTATTGCTATCCGTCTTCGTCCGTCATCGTCCGTCGTGCGTTGTCCGTTAACATTTTACATTTTCAACTTAAGCTGAAATGCTGACAAAGGGATTTCATTAATATTTCATGGGAAGGTTACTGACATCTCCCTGACCAAGTGTTGTTATTTTTCGAGTCGATCATAAATCCAATATGGCCGCCATGGCCGCCATTTTAAAACACTATTTCAAACTTAAAGTTGAGTTCTGCTGGGCTGATTGAACTGAAACTTTGTAGAAATGATCGACTCATGGTCCTGACAAAGTGTTGTTATTTTTGCGGTTGATCAGAAATCCAATATGGCTGCCATGGCCGCTATTTTGAAAATAACTATTTCAAACTTAAAAACAAGTTCTAATAGGCCGATCTAAAACTGAAACTCGGTCTAGGAATGATCAGCTTATGATCCTGATAAACTTAAGTTAACGTTATACTTAACTATTTTTTACTCAAATTGGTACGTATTTCAACAACAAAAATAAATACTGTAGGACTCAGGTGACCGTTAAGGCCCATGGGCCTCTTGTTATTAATTCCATCTTCCTATCCTTAATTTCTTGTAAATATGATGAAATAACCATTGATATTTATATTTTTGTTTCATTTTCAGATCAAATTTCACCTGTAGAAAATGGATAGCTGGATTTCATCAAATGCATGGTATTCAAATGTGTTGATCTGTCCCTGTACTTAAGTAAACTAATTTATAATTCTGTACTGGTGAGGT